AGAGTCCGTGCAGACAGCTCGGGGCTGATATCTTGCCTAACCAGTGGCCCACTGGGAGCTCAGCGGGCACAAGGTGTTGCCGACAGATGTGGCCTCTTCACTGGGGCTTATGCTGCAGGAAGCTTGGCCCTGCCCTACTGCCTTCTCAGGAGCTCTCCAGGTGGGGATGGACACATGTTCCTTATTCCAACATGACAGCCAGGGGTACCTCTGGCTGTGGGAGCTGAGCGCTGGCCAGGGAGCTCACACAGTCCTGGCGCTCTGGCTGTTGCAGCGCACCAGGGCTGAGTCCCAGCCAGAGCGTGCCTGGGTGTGGGTACAGAGCCAGGGTCAGCTGCAGCGTGTGCCGTCAGAGAACTGGCAGCAACAGGGCATTGGGCTGCTGCAGCCCTGCCCTGCAGCGCTGCGCATGCAGCACTGGCTCATCGCTCTCTCCCTCTCTGTCTCTCCCCTTGTTCTGCTCTCTCAAACATGTCACCTAGTGCCGTCAGGTGCGAGCACTCCTGCAGGTTGCTTCTTGTCACCTGTCTCCTCTGAGCTCATCTTGGCCTCTCCTTCTCTCATCTTCCTCCACTGCCTGTCTCCACTGTCTCCACCTCAGCTGAGCCCTCTGGGAGCCGTGTCCTACTCCAGCGACTGCATGTCACCGGGGACTGCCCCTCTCATGGCTGTCGTGCTTACAGATGGCCACCCCAGGCCTACTCCTCCTGCACCACCCTGCACTCCTTCCCTCGCTGGCCCTGCTTGCCCCCAGCCAGGCACCCACACAGGGGAGGGGTGCCCTTTCTCTGCTGGGGGTCCCATGCCTCAGCTGTCGCTAGCAATCCCTGGCTGCCTGGGGAGAAGAACAGGTTCTCTGCTGATCTCCAGGGCTGGAAAAGAGGCTAGTGGCTCAGAGCTGGAAAAGGTTGAGCAAAGCCATCTGCATGGGTGGGAGTGCCTGGCTTAGCTATCGTCCTTATCAGTGTGCCTGGGCTGTGCACGTGGCCCTGGGTGACGAGGACATGACAACTGCTTGTAGCCCTGGAGACACCAACAGGGTTGTAGGACCTTGGCTGCATCCCACAGGGCTTTTGGGTTGCATGATGTGTACCAGGGCCACCCTTCCCTGCTTATGGTACTAATTCCAGCCTGCTCCTCTGTGCTGTGGAGAGTGACTGAATTTGGGGGCCAGTGCCTGCCAGACTTGGCCACCTGAACTCCAGGCTGACTGTCAGCTGGCTGTTGCTGGATGGGGGTCTATGGGCAGGGACCTGGGGGCTGGTGGAGCACGACAGCAAAGAGGGCACTGTTCTCTGCAGTGGGGATGAGGAATTGTACGGACCCCAGGCCAGTTCTCTTCACAGAGAGCAGACAGCCCCAGGGCCTGCCTGAACCAGCCACCAGACTCGGAGGGAGGCATGGCAACACTTTGCAGGGACCATGCAAAGGCAGCAGCTGCTGTGGGCCCAGCCCTGCTCAGCCCAGCCACGGGGCTCTGCGGCATGACCATTGCTGTCCTTGGGGCAGGCACCCTCCTGGAGGCTGTTTCCCTTCTCACCCCACTGTGCTTGTGTGTGCGTGAGACGGCTGCTGGAGATGTCGCCTCTGTCTGCCCATATAGGTTACGCTTCGCTGCAGGACGAGCTGCTGTCCCCCGCCTCCCTGCATTACACGCTGCCATCCCCGTTGCGTGCCGACCAGTACTGGAATGAGGTGGCCATCATGGATGCTATCCCTATGGCTGCCACCGAGCAGGACGCCCTCATGGAGATGTCTGACATGCAGGTGTGGTCCTCGGGGCTCACACCCTCACTGGTGACTGCTGAGGACTCCTCTCTGGAGTGCAGCAAGGCTGAGGACTCGGATGCCACAAGTGAAGGCCGGTTCCCGGGGCAGCTTCTAGCAGATGCACATGGCCCAGACCACATGGGCTCTATGGACCTGGTTGAGGATGACACAGTGGACTCAGATGCCATGAATGGCCTGATTGACCTTCTAGAGCAGGAGGAGGGGCAGAGGCCAGAGGGGAAGATGCCAGCCAGCGATCACCAGCCAGGAACCAAGGAGCAAGACCCGGAGAGTGAAGTCTCTTTTGTTTCAGTTCAGCAGAAGGTGCAAGCCAGGATTACGGCATCACCTACCGTTAGCCACATCGTGGAGAAGAGTACAGACAGGTACTGCAGCCTGGGGCGCTGGGGTGGCTGTGGGAGGGGAGCAGAACTGCTTTGCTGGCTATTGCCCCGTGCTGGGCCAGCTGCAATAATCTCCCAGCTTTGCTTACTGCTCTGCTGATCTCCAGCGCTGTAGCCCGGGCATCCCTGGCAGACAGAGCAGTGGCTTGGGCTGAGGGCTCGTCCCTCTCTGGAGAAGCTTGGAGGGGGCCCCTCGGGCAGACAGCCAGGCCCTGCATGTGGGTTGTGCTCACCAGAGCCGTCTCAGCCTGGGCTGCGTCCTCCCGCGTTCCCAGCAGCACCAGTCTCGTCAGGTTCCTGGCAGAGCCCAACAATGCTCCATAGTGTTGCCTTAGACCCTTCCCAGCCAGGCTGCGAGGCTGTGGGGTGGGGCAGGGAGCGTGGCAGGGAGGGAGCCTGCGTTCTTTGTGCATCTGCGTTTTGTGCTGCTTGTGGCGGGTGCCTGGCAGC